ATAATATCTATATGATATGCGTGAGCATCTCTCTCCCCCCCCTCTCACTCCATGTGTGTGTGTGTGTGTGTATTTGTGCATCCCTCCATTTCGTTGCGGGACACCGTACCTCAACGCAGACTGTATCGCCCCGACGGTACACAAGCAAGGGTCAGAACGTACTATCATACAGATGGGACTGAAGCACTGCCATTCCGCACACTCTCGCCAGTTTGCATTCCCTCTCAACCGCACGGCTAATTGCCACCGCCGCCACCACCACCAGTGATGCTTTTGCTTCCCTCCGTAACAGCTGCTCCCTCCGCCTCTGGGATGGCTGCAGCAGCGGTTGATGTTGTTGTTGCTATTGCCGGTGTTGTCAGTCTTGGTGGGAGTGTTGGGGATGGTGGTGGGAGTCCGGCTGCAGCGGCGGCATCCCGTACCCCCACCTCGCTTTCCCGCATCAGGAACTCGACCCACAACTCCGCAATACTCGGCGCCGCGCCGCTTTCGTTGCCGCTGCTGCTACTGCCACCGCCGCCACTGCCGTCGGTGATGCCAGCTCGGCGAGGCCTGCTCCACACACTACTCACAAGACCGCCAATGATACCGCCGCGCTTTCCCTGATGGCCGGGCTTCGGGTTGGTGGGCCCAGGCAGCAGCCCCGCCTTCTCTTGCATGGCCTCGTCCCAGTTCAGCAGGCCACTGAGAACTTTGAGCATTTCGTCCCCTTCTGGCCGCTGCCCTACAAAAGCGTGGATGAAGTTTACTGTGAGGTGACTTATGACACGCTTGTCGATCATCGTGTCGCCGTTCAACTGCCGCGCGGTCTCATCCAGCGCCTTTCGAAGCTCCGCATGCTTGCGGTGAAAGGATGTGATCTCCAAGTTCTTCGCCGCCATGTCCCGTCGGTGATTCGCAACGACTGCGTCAATATTACTCTGATGTTGCTGCTGCTGGAGCTCTGCTACCTCCAATTGTGCGCGCAGTTGATCAATCTCAATCTGCATGTCAGCTGTTCGCTCCTCCACGTCACGGGTTTTATTCTGCGTGAAAGTGTCGAGCACCTGCTGCAGATTCTCCATGCTTCGCTGTGCCTGTGCGAGCTCTTCATCGCGTTCATGCAGGACCTTCTTCAGTGTGTCAACATCGGCGTTAAGGACGGCCAGCTGTTCCTGGTGGCTCGTTTCCCCTGTTGCCGTTTCCGTGATGCGCGTCTCCCACGCCTTCTTTTCTTCCTTCAGCACCTGCAACTCGTTTGTGACGCTCGCGAGGACTTGCTGCGCGTCGCGGTACTGCTGCAACTCTGCCTGCAGCTGCTGCTTCAGCTTCGCCAGGGACTGCTCCCGCAGAGAGAGTTCCTCGCGAAGCGTGCCGATCGTCTTCCACGCCTCATTCACCTGCTGCGTGAGTGTGGCGTTGACGCTGCGTGCCTGCTCGTACGTGCGCTCCCATTCCTTCTGCACCTGCGCGGCCTGCTGGTTCGCGCCCAGAAGCCGGTGGAACTCACTCGCGAGAAGCGTTATTTTGTCGGAGAAGGACGCCCCGATGCCGTCGCGTGGCGGCGGCAGCTCCGTATCGGCGCGCACGAGACAGTCAGTCACGGTGTGCTCCAGCTGCAGCATAAGTTCCTCCAGCCGCGCGCCCGCAGCCTTTAGCTCCCGCTTGCGCGCGTTGAGGGCGGCGAGAAGCGAGGCCTCTTGCCCATCGTTCGCTCGCCGAGACGCCGCGACGTCAGACTGTAGCTCCGCAATTAGCCCCTCTGCAGCCACCAACTTATTCGACAGTGCCGCACTGTTCGCCTCGGACTCTGCCAAGCGGCTCTGCAGCTGCAGCGCTTCCTGCTGGAGCTCCGACTGCCGCCCGCCCGCCTCCGCGGCACAGCGCTGGGCGTCGCTCGACTCACACCGCAGTGCGTCCATGGCGGCACGTGTCTGCTGCTCGCCCTTCAACACCTCCTCCACGCGTTGAACGGCCTCGTCGCGCTCCTGTTTGGCTGCCTCGAGCTGCGACGTCAGCGCCGCGATTTCCGCCCGCAACGGTGAGACCGTGCTTGCCTCCGCCGCTCCCTCTCCCTCCTTCTGCACTGCCTGCCGCTCCTGTTTCCGCTCGCTTTCAAGCCGCTCAATGAGTTGTGCCAGCCGCCGCGCCTGCTCCTCGCTACGCCTCATCATTTCGTCCTTTTCCTCCGATGCGACGCGGTGGGTGCGCAGCTCCTCCTGCAGCCGCAGGGCTACCTGCTCCTTCTCCCGCAGAGCGGCGAGCTTTTCCTGCTCGAGTATCTCGACGCGCCGGCGAAGTTCCTCCACTGCCGCTGATTCATTTATCGGCGTCGGCGCAACCTCTTTGCCCATGAGCGCATCCGACTGAGCCACGGGCATGAGAACAGGTTGTGATTTAGTGGCGCTCGCATTAGTTCGCTCCACCTCCTGCAACAGCGTATCGTGTGCGTCCTGCAGGGATTCAATCTGTTGTGCCGCCTCCATTAACTGCTGATCTCGCAAAATCAGCAGCTTTTTTGTTTTATCATGCTCCGCGTTCATAGCGGAAGCCTGGTTGGCAAGCTCATTCACACGCTGCTGTAGCCGCTGAACTTCTTCTTTGAGCTTCACACACTCCGAGTCACGACTCCTAAGCTCGCCCTCGAGCTGCTCTTTCGCTCTCTTCTCGGTATCAATCTGCTGCTGCAGAGATGCCACATTCTCCTCGTAATACGTTACTGTTTTCTCGTGTGCTGTCTTCACCTCCTCTTGGTATGCAAGGATCTGACTCTCCATTTGTTGTTTTTGATCCAAGAGCAACTGCACTTGCTTCTGGAGTTCAGTAATGTGAGTTTCGTACCGATGTGCTTCCCCACCACCGTTCTCTACCGCATTTGTTGCTGTTGTCGCTAATACTGACGAAGCTGCCGAGGTTTCGACCGTCTCCGGCGACTTTCCGTGCGACGCCCCTCCGTCAGTGGAAGGGAGTTCCCGTGAGGCGCTATCCCGACGGACACTAGACGGCGTGCTGCGCAACGGCGGCGTGAGGATGGCATCGCGTGGCACCGAGCAACGAACAGGCGGCGTCATCTGTACACCCGATTCCACACCTGCTGCTGCTGCTGCTGCTCCTACTAGTACTGCCTTTACAGCTAGAGTTGCTACAGAGTGAGAGTGACTGTTTAAAGACGCATTCATTGCTTCCGGCATGCGGTCACTGCACACGTCTTCTTGTGCCTGATGCAGCGCCTCCTCAAGTCGTCCACTCATCCCCTCATGCGCCACTACCCTGTCTCCTTCCTCTCCCTGCTGCTGCCGCCGCCGCCGCCACTCGTACTCACCGTCTTCATCCTCGTCTTCGTACTTTGGCGTGGCTATCTCCGCAGCAATATTCTTCAGCTTCTTCGTGACGTCAGTCCAGTGGTTCCACATCTCTCTTGACTACCTTTCACACGCCCACACACACTTTCTCTCTTTCGCTTGTGTAGGGTCCTCTGTGTCCCTGATTACCCCGTCGTCAAGCCTTTCTGTTACTAGGACAACGCAAAGTCAGATGAGAGAGGACAACAACATAAAAACAAACAAACGAGAGTCTACACCTTATATAATAATGCCTTTTACATGATGAACGACACAATGCTCCACCGAAAGAGCTTGCACCTAACTGCACAACAGCATCAACACACACACACACACAAACAACAACAACAACCACGCAACACCAGACACAGATAACACGTGTCCGCACTTGCGCTACCTCTGTGAGAGAAAGGTGTCCGCGAGCAGCACCCNCCACTCTGCCCCACGCCCGCCGGCACGCCGGCAGATGAGTACTCCCGCGGCGGCGTGACGCGGCGCGGGCACTGTGACGGCGCGTGCCGAATTGTGCGGTGCGGCAAGAGGCAAATCGGGCAGTGCGTCGCGGCATGCAAGCCCGCTGGCACCAAGGGACAGCTGCTGTACAGGTGACCGAGCTTTCCACACTTGATGCAAAAGAGTCGGCTTGCGTGAGCGCGGAGCTCTTCGGCGTCCACTTCATGCCCCACGCCGCCGACGCCCACATCGCCGCCACTGGAGAGTTTCGGGCATTGCGTAATGTGGTGCCGTCCGCTGCAGTACGCGCACCGCAAGCGGCGCTGGTGCAAAGCTGGACGCCGCTCATTGCTTTTCCATGCGTGTGGGTTGAAGGCCTGCGTCGCAGCGGCGTTGGGAATCGCAATCAGACCGGATCCGCCCCGCTGCGTGGCGGCGCTATCGAGAGCGTCGGTAACATCCGCCACCGTCGAGAGCAGCACATCCTCCGCAGCCCCTTTCAACGCACGCGTCCCGTTGGAAGGAGTCAAAATGGCATCGCTGCTGCTTCCACTACTACTACTGCTACTCTTTACAGCAGTGGCAGTAACAGCTTCCTCGTTCGGCAGCAGCGGAACGCCCTCTGGACACGAGCTCCACGTGTGGCCGGCCGCCCCGCAGTATGCGCACCACAACTCGCTGCGCTCCTCCAGCCGCAGCAAGGTCAGATGGCCACCACTCCACTCCCGCGCCACGTCGCGCTGCGGTGGAAGGCACAATCGCCCGTCGTCCTGCAGCAGGGAAGAGTACGTGCTGCATTCGGCTGTGGAGCCCCGACTGACGAACAGCATTCGCTCCGCGACACTGTTGCAGTACGAATCCGTCAGCTCACGCTTCTCCATGCACAGCAGAAGATGCTGCACGGCGCTCGCGTTGGAATCCTGCGCCGGGTCCGGGAAGTGAACCGTGGCGCACTCCAAGCCAGACCCCAGCACCAGCTGGGCGACACGCAAGTACGTCTTCTCATCTTTTAGGTGCGTCAGAGCCTCCAACAGAAGACGGTAGCGGTGCCCACGCAATCCCGTTTGTGGCACCTCGTCTGTGTTTTGAAGCAACGCCGCAGACTCAGCAGGAACAGCAACAGGAGCCGCGTCGACAGGTAAAGAAGACGATGCTGTGAGTAGAGGCTCTGCCACTAGCTCCACCGGAGACCCCTGCCGCAGGAGGTTCTGAACAGCCATTGGGAATTTCGACAGCTTCAACTGGGGCACGGTGTGGAGCTGCTGTGTGACCTCCAGCATCGCATCTGCGAGCGCACGATCATTCACGTAATCATTTAGCACGACAAGGTTTGCTGCTGCAAAGACGGCCTTGATTTCTTCGTCAGACGCGTCGTTGGTGGAGACTTCATACAGCGCAAGGTCACATGCGCTGTTGAGAGTGATTAGACGGAAGTCAAACTTGAACGGTTTTCCAACAAGGCGGCGCACACTTTGTTCCTGCTGTTGATGCAGTTCCGATGCGTCAGCAGAATCATCGTCCATATCATAGTGTCTGTATTCATCCGACGTCCCTCCCCGTGCTGCCACTGCCTTCACGTCAAGCGCGACACGTAACCGGCACTCGTGTCTCATCCACGGATGAGACACTGTGTCGCCGTCCCCACGCCCCTTTCCACGGCACACATCGCAGAGGTTATCATCGACAACAGGGAGTGCGGAGAGACTGGATGCCGCTTTCACAGTGACTGTAGGCGACAGAAAGAGTGCTTTGAGCCGCTTCTGCTGTCCCACAAGAGCTTCCAGAGGAGGTGGGAGCTGCGACGAGCTGAGGTATCCAGACACCGTGCCGTGACGCAGCAGGCTCCGCGCTTTTACGCTGTAGAATCCTCCCCGCAGCAGCGGGTGTGGGTATGCGCAGAGTGGCAGAGCGTCGTCGCCGCCCAGCGTGATTCCTGCCGCTTCCGCCTCGGCGCCGTTGCCTTCACGCTGGAGGAACTGCTGCACGTATGGGTTCTTGAAGACACTATTGGTTGTGCGCTCAGCGGCTTGTTTCTCGCGCAGAGTACGCTGAACGCGGCCGGCCACGCAAGGCGGAACACGGCACAGTACGCGGTAAACACACCGCACCAAACCCAAGCGATGACAGTTACGAAGAAACATGAAATCATGCTGTGCGCAAGCAATAAGTGCCGTGCCCTTTCGCTGCGCCGTCATCGCATTCAGTTCCGACGGTGTTGCATACTGTGACAGTGCCGGGTGCATAAGCGGCACAACAACTCGTGGCGTGCCGCTCCCCGGCGACAGCAGGTCCGTCATCCGGCCCAGGAGCGAATCGCTGGCATCGCTCAGCCCCACAGAAGGGACGCTGTGCGCGGCAGCAGCAAAGAGATGCCGCCCACTACTGCAGGCAGCTACCTGCGATGTAGCAAAGTAGGGAAGGCCGCACGGCTTATACACGGCGACAGCAGGCGCCGTGCGGGTCTGCCCCTCGTCAAGGCAGCGGCCCAACGACGACTGCAGCAGCTGCAATGGTCGCGCCGGTCTCCGCGACATCTTTTTTCTATTTTTTTTTCTTTTCTACACACCTTCACACCTTACACTCCTTGCCGCATTTTTTTTTTGTTTTGGTGATGGGGGGCGCACAGGAAAGACGGAGGATGAAGGCTGAAGCGTAGGGATCACTGCACTGCCACTCCCCTCATTCCTCTTCCTCCTCAAGTATGGGAGATGGCGATCATCAATAGCAACAATCGCTTGTAGCCACACGCAAACAGAGACACACACAGACACAAGATCACGCCACCATTTTAAATTCATACTGCTCAAAAATACCAAGAAAGCGTTACCTCATCATTGCTACTGCTGCTCCACGGCAATCTCAGGCAACGGCGGAGCAAGCCAGAAGCAACTTCGGTAGCCGTCAAAGACCAGAGGCCGCTGAATAGGTACACGACGCTGCTGCACGAGTTTGATGCACTCTTGTGCTGCTGCTGCACCGATAATAGACGCAATAGCAGCCGGCTCCCCCGCACCGTATCGTGCCACTTCCATACATGCCTTGCTGAGCAAATCAACATTGTTGCACGGTTCTCCATATCTGGATGCCGTAACAATCTGCAGAAGCTCCTTTCCGTCACTCTCCCATATGGCATCAGCGTCGGTGCTCTGCTCAGAGGCGTACCCCGCCGGCCGCCCGTAGCGTTCCTCGAAACACTGCGCCGCTAGTAGTGCCGCGTACATCTCAACTGTAAAGCGCTCCTCGTCAGTGCTACAGTCGGAAAGATAATGATTGAAGCGCTTCTGAGAAAGTGCATCACACACGTTCTCGTCAAGACCTGGGTGAAAACTCACTGTTTGCAGCGTCCAAAGGTTCTGCACAAGCGCTTTTGTTACCTCCGCAACCTCAGACGCATCAACGATAACAGGCACGTCACTGCCACAACCACAACTTCCGAGGGCCTCCATGGCGTATTCCCACACTGCCACACAGTCTTCCTCCGTCTTTTTCGCATAGATGGCACCTAGCTCAGCGTACCACTGCGTCGTTGTGGTGAAGTCTGGAACGTATCCACAGAATGGTGGAACCCCATCATGATTCGCTATAAATTGTTTGATGCCATGCACCACAGACCAGCATAGAATAGTGTTCTTCTCCTCCGGATCTTGCTGTGGCCATTGATGCATACAAAGTGGTGTGTCTGCGCGAGTATCGCGCAGCAACTGCTGCAGACCCTCTGGAAGAACAGAGGGGCGATTAAGAACTGTACGACACATCTCCAGAGCCTCCACGAAGCCCTCCTGCGGTGGGAATGGACGAAGAATGAATGAACTCACAGCGTGCTTTAACACGTCGTAATCCGCTTTGGACCGGGGTACAAACGCCGGATCGCCACGCCCCAGTCGTACGCGTTGGAGAGCATGGTAGAGGATAGCTATCCAGGGGAAATGACTATGCAACTCGATGTCTCTGCTGTAAAGAGCACCATCCGCCGGGTCGTGCGCCTCAAACCACTCCTGTAGTGCGGGAAAGGGGTTGAAGATGCGCAGATCGGTAACTCGCGTCTCTGGTTTCGGCTCTGCATGAATGATAATCCGCTCCCTTGCTTGTATGTGCAGGAGCCCGGCTAAACCCGAAGCCTTGACGTACAACAACGGTATTCCACTCACTCTTTTCAAGTGGGCCGCGAGGCGGCGTAAAGAGGCCGGCGAAAGTCGTGGAGTCGCTACAATTAGTGTCGGCTGCTGCTCTCCGCTTTGGGATGCTATTGTACTACTCGGCGATGCTGTTGGCGACAAGAACGATTCCAGCCACGATGCGCAGGGCCTCACGCAGGCTATACCCCTACTCTGTGCATTCAGCTTTCCAAGGTTTTGCACTAACGCAACTGCAATTGGACGCCGCGCCGCGTAGTCATCCATGGTGACAAAGAAATTGTTCCCCATCGCCTCATCATCTACGAGGGCATCGTCCACAATAGTGAAGAGACCGATCCCCGGCAGGATCATGTTTTTAAGCATCTCCGCCGCTGCCACTGTTGCACCAAGGACAACAACGTGCGACTCCGCGAGTGCCTGCTGGCCATCACGACCCCACAGTCGCAGCTGTCTGTCGTATTTGGTGTCCATCGGGCTTATATATATATATATATATATATAT